ATTAATTTACTTTAGACTCTCCAATACAAGACATATCTGCAGCTCAGGGTTGAACTGTGGAGTCCTTGGTGCTCTCTGAGCTTGGTTGTTTGCTTGCAGGCGTTTCATTACCCAACTAGGTCACATCATCTGTGCTAGTGAGTGTGGGGTTTGCTCCCTGTTTATACACAGTAGTTTGCCCTGCCAGTATTGGTGGGGGTGTGGTTTTCTCCTTGATTAGGGTATTGTTTTCTGCTTGATTGTTTGCCTGGTGTTAATCCCTGCTTATCTAGATGTTGGCTGCTGGAGAGGATATGTTCTGGACTTTTTGTTTCCTTCTAACTTCTTTATTGCCTCTTTTGAATGATGTGTAAATATGGTTTATCTTTATGTGTCTATTGATGGCTGATTTGTCTGAATGCCAAGCTTCCTGGAATTCCCTAGCGTTTTTCCAGGAATTCTCCCATCAACCAACACCCAGATAAGCTGGGATTAACGCCAGACAAACAATCAAGCAGAAAACAATACCCTAATCAAGGAACTACCAAGGAGAAAACTGCACCCCCACCAACGCTGGCAGGGCAAGCTACTGTATATAAACAGGGAGCGAACCCCACACTCATTAGCACTGATGATGTTACCTGGTTGGGTCATGAAACGTCTGCAAGCAAACAACCAAGCTCAGAGAGCACCAAGGAGTCCACTTTAGACTCTCCTCTTTGAGCAGGCAGGAGCTTTTATTCAGTTCAGTGCAGTTGTGTTTATTGTGGCACACTGTATCGGAGTCTCCTCATGTTATTATTCTGTCTGATGCACCATTTTTTCTCCTCCACGGGCTTCACACCAGGGCTGAAGGAAACTGAAAATATCTGGATCTAGCTTTGAAAAGAGTCTGGATGAATCTTCCTTAGTCTCTTTAGATCCCTTTCCAAAAGGTCATGAAGAGTTACAAACCCGTTCATCCAGAGGTAAAAATAGACTTGCGTGACTCATCTGTTCACCAAATATATCTGCTTGAGAAACCGTGGTGGATTATTATTGTAATTGTTATTATTATTAGAAGATATAAGTGCAACCCCCAACCCAGGTGGTGTCATCATTGTTTTTAATTCATTATAGCTTCCTTTTTGAAGCTGAGAGGCTGCTATAGCGATCACGGAAATTCTTTAGTGAGGTTGACATATTATGCTAAGCCTGGTCTGTTTTAACCATAGTTAGTGAATAAACAACAATGGCCACATTCACATAACACAGGAAGCCCAACCAAAGAAGCTATATTGTGGGTAGGCCATCCAATGGCTGTGTTTAATGTCCTTGTGGGAAAGGCTGTAATGCTGTATGGGCAGGGTCAACTTTTGGGAGTTTGGGGAGGGAGTTGAAACAAGCCTGAAAGAAGCCAGCTTGATAAAGTTGGTTTGTTTTAACAGATCATGGTTAAATAATATTTTTAAAGCATCAGTACTTGCTTGGGACATGAGCAGAAAATTTACAGGGTGGTGGTGGGGTGGATGACCTTAAGATGTCCCAAGGTTACATTTTTGGAAGATGAGGGCAGAAATGGAGAGAGCAGTGATACAAAATGAGTGGCGCCGCATCACGCATGTCGCAAAGCAAGAATTTCCCACTATTTGCTGGCGTTTGGGAAGAGGACTTAGAGGTGAATTATTTGGTTTTTATAAAAGTGTTGTGCCTGTTCTAGGGCTTACATTACAACTTTCAAGAGTTTTCCCATCTTAAACCAGACTACTAGAATGATCAATGTGTGGGTCAGCCCAGATACCACGTTCCTCATTATTATCAACATTGACTGGCAGCGGTATTACAATCAGGCATCTGCAGGTTTATGGTAGAAGGAGAAGGAGAAAATGGCAGCCATGATGGTGTGATTATCATCTTGACATTTTTGGCCTTACTCTGTGGACACCTCTGACTACAGTGTTCGGTACACAAGGCCGCCCTTAGTGTTAGAAACAATTTCTTAACATTCAGTTGAGAAATTCAGTTTTAAGTTCCTTGCTGAAACTTAAAATCCTGTACCCTCTGTATCAAGAGATCGAACCTTGACTTTCTTCTCCATAGTTCTTCAGGTACTTGCAGGCAGGGTTCATACAACAACAGCTTACCTTGGTTTAATAAAGGTCTAGTGATTGTATTTCTGCAACATGTTAAGTTTGGACTGTTCTAATCTTGGTGTTTTTTTGTTTTTTTTAGCATTGTGCAAACACAGACATTTAACTAAGTTAAACTTGTTGGGAAGCTAGCGAGAGGTTTTATGATATCTCCTCTTGGTTATCTTTTCTCAAGGCTAAACATATGTGGTTTCCTCCATGTCACCTTGTAGGACCTATTTCTTATCCTTGAATCACCCTCATTTGTCTTCTTTGCAACTGATCTAGTTTGCCAGGAGCCTTTTTAAAATGTGATACCCAGAATTGGATGTGGTCCTCACCATGGGCTTGGACCAACACAGAGTGGTGGACTTGCAAGCAATTCTTGACGAATGGCTGAGCTTTTAATTCAGAAACAATTACACCCTTGTTCTTCAGGGTTGAGAATCCCAAGACTGTGCAAAGCAGGATTTGTCCTCTCCTGAGCCCCAGATGCTGATTGCACCAGATTTTCTTGTAAGACTGTGAACTCTAGATCTCAGATTAATGTTTTCAAGCTTTCTTCTAAGCGATCTCCCCTTTTCTCCTCGAATGCCCGGACCATTCACTGAACAGATGCAAAGTGCTGGAAGACGATGCTGAATTTGGCTTTGGAGCGTTGATTGAATTTTATTGGTTTTTAAGTGTTGCCCTTTGTTGGTTACAGGGTTGCCAGAATGACTGTGCGGATGGATGCTCAGCAGCCGCTGCAAAACCCGTGACCGAATCTTTCAAGGTATGTTTGTTTGCCAAAACAGAAACACCTGCAGGAGTGCTCAGCTCAGTGTGGGAAACTATCCTCGAAGCATAAAGAGATCCGCTCTGTCTCAGTCTGCAGAGCTGTGGGTGGGCGAGAATGTTACAAACCCGGAGGGGGGGTGTTGATGTTAAGCATCCTCTAAGCTAAGGTTTAGCTTGTTGACGTTAAGCATCCTCTAAGCTAAGGTTTAGCTTAGGCACATGTGAGGGATGTTTGTGTTGGGAGCTTTTAGAGATAAAGGGAGCCATCTCTCCCCTTCTGAATTGTCAGTCCTCTTTGTGCATCTTGAATTGTGCATCTTGAATTTTTTTCCTCTCTGTCCACTTTTCATCGACTTGGGGAAGCCCATGGGCCCTGAAGGATCTAGGAGGGGGCAGCATATGGCTCCAGAGAGCACCTTTTGCACTCTTCTGTAGCATTTCATATTAGTCCCTTCCCCTTGCTTTGTTGGTCAATTTATTTTACTAATTACTTTCCTGAGTTACTACTACAACTTTTACTTCTTTGATTCCAATAAAAGAGAATACCTGTAGCTCAGGGTTGAACTGTGGAATTCTTGGTGCACTGTTGATGTGACCTAGTCGGGTAATGAAACAAGCTCAGAGAGCACCACTTCTTTGATTGATTTGATTTCTTTTGTAAAATTCAAGGTGGCTTACATAATGCTCCTCCCTTTTGTTTTCTCCACAACAGCAACCATGTGAGGTCGCTTGGGCTGAGAAAGATTGACTGGCCTGAAGTCATCCAGCCAGCTTCTCTGCCGGCTTGTAGTCTCCTGGTTTCTCCCTAGTCTAGCACCTTAACTGCTAGACCAAACTGGCTCTCTGAAAGAAATGCCTTTTCTCTTGAATAAATCTACTGTTTCCCTCCATTTTTCTTGTAAAATCCTCTTGTAAATTCCCTGGGCTCTTTAAAAGTGCCCAGATTTTTGGCAAGATTTAGCAGTGTTCTTGACAAACAAAGAGTTAAATCTCTAAATTAAGACAAAAACCACAAAGAGGAGCTTTGCGAGTTTGTGGTAAGCCTGTAGGGGCCCAATATGCTTCGCTGTAATTCTGTTTACCAGACCTGGTTGGTCTTCCATCAGTGTATTGTTTTGCTTATATTTAAGATACAAAGGTTGCTTTTGATGCCGGGCACGGAAATATGCTGAAAGTGTAATCTCCTCCTTCTCCTTCTCCTTCTCCTTCTCCTTCTCCTTCTCCTTCTCCTTCTCCTTCTCC